TTGTGAAATCCAGTGGTGGGTATGTATGTTGACCAATATACATACAATTGGTATATGAAAGAGTGTTTCATCCATGATGGCTACATCGTAGATGAGTTGGTTGGTGTAGGTTATTCAGGGAAAATTCGGAAGATATACGTTTGTAGTTTGTGGTTTGACGTGACAGTTCATCCTTACCTCGGCAACAATATTAATGAGAGATTCGATATTCAACGACGACATCAGATTGTGTTGAGGCGGCAGGCGGACTTACTGCCTAAGGCCGTTAATTTACTCATCTACGTAGTAGCTGATCTTCCTTCCTCTGTCCCCAGTCAACAGCTCAATTTGATCTATAATTTCTTTCCCATCTTGCTTTCTCTACAGATGGCGATTGGAAGGATATGTCTACATAGGAAGAATTGCCCAGAGTGCACTGGGACTTGCATACATACATACTAGCTCGTCTGTGGTATGAGGGAATGCACCTAGAATGGCATCAAATGCATATTATGAAGGTTGTTGGTAGCTATTGCATTTCTTCCTCGTCCTCGCTACTTAGAATTTCCCTAAATCGCTGATCCTACCCATTAAGCCAACAGTTCTCGTCTTCTACCTCCGCTTCTCCCCATTACCAGGCTTCGTCTCTACGCAGACGGACATGGAACGTTACTACTTATTTAAGGATATATAGCCGTTGTAGCCTACATACTGCTTTTGGAATTTGCTTCTCATAGAGACGAAGACAGAACTACGAGTCTACTGCACATCTAGAGCTATTAGAGCGAGGGGGAACCATAGGTGTCTAATAAACCCTTCAAAATGTTCTTCCAGTCTAAAATGGACTCCGGTTTGCTGTATAAACTACTTTTATCTAGATTGTAAATCATGTGCTATGGCTTCAGTATATTAGAATCCAAGCGGGATTTGCCAGTTCCTTCAATTTCAACTTGTGTGTTCTCTGTTGTAGGATTGTCCCATATTATGGACGTGGCAGCGCCCCTATTAAATTGAATGGGACACACTCCAGGAAAGATACAAGAAAATACATAGCTACACTAACAACTCGCTAACGCTCGGCTTCAATTCAGTCAGTTCCATAACCTATGCAGATATTGTTCTAGTGAACTAAAATCTTGTGATTCAATTTAGTTTATCCGAGAAAGTGTTGGAGGTTGACCTTTACTGTGTCGGAAAAGATCATCCTGAATACAAGAAAGTGCTTCTGACTATGGAAGAGATGAGAGATGCGGTTTGTGGGTCAAAACAACTCTTCGAGAGCACATTGGAATGGTTCATGCGAGGTTGACATGCGGAATTATGTATCATTATGTGAATGTCGAGGTACTTGTCCGAAGAGGTGCGATTCTCCGAGCGGCAGTGAATGAGAAAAGCCTCAAAATATCGAACTTATCTGACTTTTTTTTGAGGAGACGGGAGATGGTGTGTGTGTTGGTGGTAAGTAAGAGTAAGACGGCAGGGACGAGAAAGACTGAGGGAGGAGAGTCGATCGTCTGGAGAGAGAAGGCCTCGGGGAGATAGCTAGGTATCAACCCATTGCCCTAGGCAAAGTTGCTGTCCTGAAATCATAAGAAATCCACACCTATCTCAGCGGGTAGTCAATAGAGGTAGGTACGCAATGAGACATCTGTTGTGTCTAGCAGTAAGTCTCTAGCATGGCATTTGGCTTAGTGTCAACTTGCACAGAGTCAAATCTCTGTCTCAACGCAAATTCCAAGGTAACTAAAGACTGGTGGGATAGAAACCTAGACGGCTCACTTGCCTGAATCAGGGCAATATGATGAGTCTGTGGAGCAACTTTGATGAACTGAAATTTAGAACTGGACAAATGATATGGCTAGCGGATGTCTAGCAATAAAACTCTTGCGGTCAGATCTCTCATACGCCCTGATATCAATAGTTCAGCTAGATGGGGCAAATAGATGGGGCAAATAAGATTTGGCTTATTGCTAAAGTACTTGCACTTTTCTGGATGACGAGATAAATCACGCGATTGTGTTAGCACGCAATAATACCAAGGACTTGGGCCGGCACTAGACATTCAACTCTACTTTGTATTGACCTCAAGCTAGTAAGAAGAAGGGTCCGATCACATTATACTCGGGATTGTGTCGATTGCGAAATATCAGTATTGCTCATCTACAACCAAGTACTCTTCACTCCGTACCCTGACCTTAAGCCGTGAAGCCATATGGATATATCCGTGCATTACGCCCCAGTGCCCTGAGCCCACCGGTATCGGAATGGGACATGACCATATGTTCCAAAACGAAGCTAACTAGTCTCGTGTAATTAGTAACATGGCCGAGAGGTCTTAGGTCCGACCTTTGCCGTAAGGGCCGGGGATCCTTCGGGATAAATCCTACCGAAGGAATTTACTTCACGATTTCATGATCATGCTAGCTCTTCGTTGAGGACAAGGATTAGAAGTACTAGGTGGTCAACTGCCCACCAAGGTCCAGGAATACTCCTTACGTACAGGACAATCGGGCTGCCTCTTCGGGTTTCCCCACAAAGGCACCCCTGCATATGCATACATGTACGCGAGGACTAGCGAGCACCTAGAACATCTCGTGTCATCAGTCACACAGACACAAGAGATGGGATAGACGTTGTTCCATGGTGTGCTCTGGTAAAGATCTCCAAATCATACACAAGAACCCACATCTAGATGTCGGATAGTAGGGGACCCGGGGGCTAAGAACACGGAATCTTAAGCGAGCTTAAGGACACTATATTATATTAGCGGCAAGGGCGAGAAATGAATGCAAAACAAAAAGCCAATAATGTAACCACCTGGATCACTAGTCGATATAGAAGACAAGGTTCTCGTATACAACAAGGCAAACGCCACCCCGTCTAGGCAAGACGAGGCTGAAACTGAAGAGCATCTCCGAGGAGAAGGGGAGTGTACGATGTACTCCGTGTCGCGAAGATGCTTGCTCGCATGAGTACGGCTATGCAACCCTAACCAGTTGCAGATCCGAGCATGTCTTAGAGTCAGCTGCCTAAGAAGAACGGCGCCAGCGCCACATTATTTCCTTTTTTGCTTCTTCCTGTCGCCTATTTCTTCTCTTGTATGCCGCTATAACGTCTAGTCTGGTAGCCAAGAGAATCCAGAAGTCTTGGATATGTAGCTAAGTAACCTGAATAGCGGGAGGAATGTCTTGGATGATATGGTCGAAAGTGCCGAGGAATGCACTAGGAAGACTAAAGTGGAATATGTAAACATCGATAGCTGATACGTTTGTTGAAAAGGCCAAGAGTACATGGGTAGCCTCGTGGCACCATATTTTAAGTTAAGGGCGCAGCTCTGCGGATGTACGGAGTGTTCTGTAGGTAGTTAACGCTGCTTTAGTACTTTGGTTTTTTAGAATATTCCGCTAGACGCGGGCTAAGGATAAAGCTCGATGACGTGATTTAGATCTTGATTGCACCTTTGCAGAGTGGATGAAAAGGATGAAAAAGATGCAGGGGGCAGGGGAAAGACATGCATATACAAAGCTCCATATCAAATTTAAGTATATGGCTCAATCCTTGGCCGTTGGAGCACCGTTATAACAAAAAAAAGGCAACTACAAACAGACGGCCTTGGTTTCCCTCCGTACGGAGTACTGGGTTGAGTATTAGCGAGCGTAGCCAAGATTCTAAAAAGGTCGATCGTCCTATAGATGTGGCTATGTAAAAAAGCAACTGTCTACGGAGTACTCCGTATCTATTGGAAGAATTGGTACAGGCGTTTTCTCCTACATATGCATCTAACAGATAGGGTAGCCCCAAGCCCGAATGGACCCCACGCGAGCTTTTTAATTTAAAGACCTCGGGACGAATGGACCATTCCGTAAGGGGACCACGCGGCGGATGATCAATATGATTTAGACCCGTCAGTGTGGAGCTATGGGCATAATATTGTATGGTTCCTTTCTTTAAAAATATAAAAAACATCAAAGAAGCTTTAGAATTATGTAACATGATATCCAAGGCGGTGGCCCTGGAATAAAGTTAATCAGTTTTAAGAAGATTCTTGAAACAATTCAATCCAGCAAAATCCACCATAATCCACCACAATCCACTACTCAACGTACCATTCAAACGTGGAACCTCATTTTTCCCTTTCACCATCTCGCCTCCAGATTGCGTGTTCTAGAAGGTCCGTGATTGGTCTTGTGGCCCCACTGGTTGATCTTCTTGGGGCAAATCTCATCGAGGCGCGTTGTCATTCGTCATCCACACTTCTTGGCATGAGGACGGCTCCTGCAGTGTGGTCCCGCAGTTTAGTCACCGAGAACGTTCATCTTCATCAATTTGGAACGATATACATGGGCTATCAGGTGAGCAAAATGTCATGAGAACAAGGAATGGCTTAACAGCTATGTGTGACAGTGCTTGAAACAACTAGGGCATAATAAGCCAAGTATTCCGTCTCTTGTCGACCATGGGCCCCATGTTTAAAACGGATATACTCCACGAGTCGTCATTCTTCCAGACCGAGTGGGACCTGCCGGTTTACGCTCTTCACTGATCAACTCGGATCATCGGTGGACACGCGTGAAATCCCTCCTGGGTTTTAACAACGTGGGCTCGCTTTCAACCAGTTTTTGCTTTTTCTTCTTGATTATTTTACTTCGAGGAGCATTCCGTACAAGTCTAGCCCTCGTATAACCCTTGCGTGAATTCGACTAAATTCGACTCAAGCGAGCTAAGCGGAAATTTCCACCCAGGCAAATCTTAATTTGAATCTGGGGAGCTTAGATATTGCGCCATTTGCGATCGAATCACGCATCCATTCTTTTCCATTTTTTATTTTTTTTTTTGGTCGCGCTATACAAAGTGCGTGATCGTCTGATTTGACATTCTTTTTATATCCCTGATCATCACCTCATTTTTGAGAGTCTCCATCTTTCCAAACTTCCATCAACACACGTCTTCCTTTTGGTGAAGCTTCGTCCAAACCCGGCTTTTGATATTGTCATCACCGGTCTGTACAAAGCATATTCATCATGTCCGGAAAATCGGGCGAGGCCAATTCCAGTATTGGCCACACCCTGGCCAAGGTCCTGGGTATCAAGCTCGCATACAGAGATCCCCTGGGTGCTACCGATGAGGCCGTTACAAGAGGCGAATCGCAATTTTCCATGGGCACCGTCGACACATGCTCATACAACGAACCCGAGCCGACAAGTGTCGATTGGATTCGCGAAATCACCCCATCCGGAGCCCAACTGGGCAGATATCTGATCAGTCTATTCCCTTTCCTCACATGGATTGGCAACTACAACCTAACATGGCTGTACGGTGACTTGGTTGCCGGTATCACCGTGGGAGCGGTCGTTGTGCCACAGGGTATGGCCTATGCTAACCTGGCTGAACTGGAGGTACAGTATGGTCTGTACTCCTCGTTCATGGGAGTTTTGATCTATTGGTTCTTTGCTACGTCAAAGGATATCACCATTGGGGTGAGTGATAATGCGACCGGTTGAAAATCAAAATAACGTTACTGACCTCATCTCATAGCCTGTGGCCGTCATGTCAACTCTTACAGGAACTATCGTCCTTAAAGTCCACGAGGAGTACCCAGATTACCCTGCCCATTTGATCGCATCCGCTCTTGCTGTCATTTGCGGTGCTATTGTTCTAGTGCTGGGTCTCCTCCGCCTTGGATTTATTGTCGATTTCATCTCTCTCCCCGCTATTTCGGCCTTCATGACTGGATCGGCTATCAACATTTGCGCCGGACAAGTTTCGACTATGTTGGGCGAGACAGCCAAATTTAGTACACGCGGTGCCACCTACATGGTCATTATTAACACCCTCAAACACCTCCCCAGTTCGACATTGGATGCTGCTATGGGTGTCACTGCCTGTGCAATGCTTTACATGATCCGTTCAGCATGCACTTACGCCGCGAAGAAGCAGCCTGCCAGGGCCAAGATGTGGTTCTTCATCTCGACTCTTCGGACCGTGTTTGTGATCTTGTTTTACACTATGATTAGTGCCGCCACGAACCTGCACCGAAGGGATCACCCGGCATTCAAGCTCCTCGGGACCGTCCCTCGAGGATTCCAGCAAGCCGCCGTACCCACTATGGATGCTAAGATCATTAAGTCCTTCATTGGCGAGCTTCCGGCTGCGGTTATTGTTCTTCTGATTGAGCACATTGCCATTTCCAAGTCCTTCGGTCGTGTTAACAACTACACCATCGATCCCTCTCAGGAGTTTGTGGCCATTGGCGTGAGTAACCTTCTCGGGCCCTTCCTCGGTGGCTACCCCGCGACTGGATCTTTCTCCCGGACAGCTATCAAGTCTAAAGCTGGAGTGCGCACACCCCTTGCTGGTGTCATTACCGCGGTCGTGGTGCTCTTGGCTATCTATGCTCTGCCTGCTCTCTTCTTCTACATCCCCAAGGCTTCTTTGGCCGGCGTCATTATCCACGCTGTGGGCGATCTGATCACTCCCCCGAACACTGTTTACCAGTTCTGGCGCGTATCTCCGCTTGATGCGATTATTTTCTTTATTGGTGTCATTGTCACTGTCTTCAGTTCCATTGAAAATGGTATCTACTGCACAGTCTGTGTTTCGCTTGCAGTCCTACTTTTCCGACTGGCCAAGGCCCGCGGTCAGTTCCTGGGCCGTGTTACTATCCACTCCGTTGTCGGAGACCACCTGTTGGATGGCGATGGAAAGTACGGATCGTTCGGAACTAACAAGGCTCCCTCTGACGACGAGGACGACCACCAACGAACCATCTTCCTTCCCATCAACCACACTGATGGCTCCAACCCCGATATCGATGTGGAGCAACCCCTTCCTGGCATCTTCATCTACCGCTTCTCTGAAGGCTTTAACTACCCCAACGCCAACCACTACACCGATACCCTGGTTCAAACCATCTTCAAGAGCACCCGCCGAACGAACCCCCAGGCCTACAGCAACCGTGGTGAACGTCCCTGGAACGACGCCGGTCCCCGCCGCGGCAAGCAAAGCGACGACGAGTCACACCTACCCCTTCTCCAAGCCATTATTCTGGACTTCTCATCCGTGAACAATGTCGACGTAACCTCAATCCAGAACCTGATCGACGTCCGCAACCAGCTGGATATGTACGCCTCCCCCGCACCGTTCAATGGCACTTCGCACACATCAACAACCGCTGGACAAAGCGCGGCCTGGCTGCCGCAGGCTTCGGTTACCCGACACCCGTTGCTAGCGACGGCTTCCACCGGTGGAAACCCATTTTCAGCGTGGCCGAGATTGAAGGCAACGCCTCAGCCGCTGCCCATGCCGAAATCGTCGCCAACCAGCGCGAACAGTCCCTCCACAAGAACGCGGATCTCGAATCAGGCCTCAAGTCTGATTCCAACACCATCGCGTTGGAGACCGACGGCATCGAGACCGCATCCGAGAACTCCGAGGTCGTCCGTGAGGACAAGTTCAACCGCGATATCACGGACAGCAAGCCATACCAGCGTCGCCCTAAGGTTGCGCTCGTGCAGGGCATGAACCGGCCTTTCTTCCACATCGACTTGACCAGCGCTCTCCAAAGTGCCGTTGCCAATTCCTCGGACGTGATCCCCCACATTGAGTGATTCGTCTTGTTTTCTTTATTTCTGCGCTTCATTTCCTCGATTTTGACTGCATCTCCTGCTTGCTACTTGTCTGCATCGATCAGTTGTTTCTCCCTGGTTTGGAGTCTGATCTGATATACCCCGATTATGACCTGTTAATATCGTTTTCGCTCTTGTCATTTTCGCTCCCCTCTATACTTTTTGTCACTTAGCACTGTCTATATTGGATGTATTCCATGGCATTGACTGTGGACGTCCTGTTGTTGTGATAATATTCTTTCAGCACTATTCCCTTGGCTCGCGTGTGTTGGTTTATTTGGTCTGGGTCTTGTTTGTTGACCCTTTTGGATCTGGGGAGAAACGGATTGTTTGGAATGGACCTCCTTAGTTTCTTCCTAGGGAGATACATAGGTACCCCTTTTGCTTACATACATCTATCTTTGATAGACACTTGGTGAATCTATTCCACCTTATCTTTTGAACATGACCTGTGTACTCTGTAGTCCCTTAGCAAACCTCCGCGTAACCCATCATTGGTAACCTTGCCTTCAAATCTGTCCAGGTGTTAGATATCTGATTCATAATCAATCATCCTGATCCACGCCCTGTTACATATTAACGCATCTCCACTTCTTCCGAGTCTAACCGCCCAACCCCAATCTGATCCACATATCGGCAAAACTCGAAGCTCTAGCTTGTCTTTTGTCAAAATATTTCCAAGAGCTACTCGAGCTAAGCGAAATCTTTGATAGTTGGACAAATTTCAAGATATGTAATTAAGAGTTTTGAAGATTAAACTAGTTAACATGATGACCTCTAGAATCAAGATAATTTCCTATTTCGAACTAGCGCCTTCCAAAAACATCCATGATGTATATCGACGATATAATTTTTCAATTAACTTTCTTCAGCAAAAGGGTTATGTGGATCCATAGTATTCCTTCCAAAGCTAATAAAACTGATATTTCACAAACTCATCCCTCCTCCCTCCTCCATTCCTCAAAGGAGATAAAAGCTACACAGCAGCAAAATGTCAAATCCCCAATCAACAAGCACCGGAATCTCCCTCCAAGACCTGAACACAAAAAACCTAGAAGAAAGACCGCCACGAACAACCCAAAATGACCCCCCCAACACCCCCTCGGAAACGGACATAATGCAACAATCCCTGCTAGCAGACTCTCAAGTCCCAGACGGCGGCGAAGCCTGGGTCGTGATATCAGGTTGCGCAGTGGTAACATGGTGGTTCATCGGAACATCCTACTGCTGGGGAATTCTTCAAGCTGCACTTGTCAAAGAAGGCGTATCGTCATCATCAACGCTGGCATTCGTTGGATCCCTCGCAACAGCATGTATCTCTTTCCTGGGTGTTCTGAATGCGCGCATTATCCGTAAACTCGGGACGCGCAGATCTGCCATTGCGGGTGTATTCTTTCTCGGTCTTGGGGAGGTGTTGAGTGGGTTCTCGGCTATGAATATCGGGGGATTGTTTGCTACGGCGGGTATTGTTATGGGAATTGGTATTAGGTGAGATTGATCCAGTTTGGAACTTGTGTCCATGTATAGTATGCATGGATGCTGGATATACTCTTACTAACCAGTACTACAGTCTCTGCTTCATGGTCGTCTCCGTCACACCGGCGCAGTATTTCCGAGCGAAGCGCGGAATCGCGAATGGAATCGTCTATGCAGCGGGCGGACTCGGCGGTGCTGTGATTAGCTTCGTGATGAATGCGCTCCTCGAGCGCGTGGGCGTGCAGTGGACGTTCCGGATTATTGGGTTTGCTACTTGGGGTACGGGCTTGCCAGCTGCGTATTTGATTAAGCAGCGGATTCCGATTCCACCTTCGGCTGTTGTGGATTGGTATGTTCTACTCCTACATTACTACCATGCCTTTTGTTATGGTATACTGTCATTGTTAGCAAACTAATGCCCTCTGCAGGCGTCTATTCCGTGACATCCGCTTCGTCCTCCTTTTTGCAATGGGTGCAATCGCCACATTCCCCCTCCTAGTCCCACCCTTCTTCCTACCTCTCTTCACAGCTTCACTGGGGATGTCATCCGGCACTGGAGCAGGTATCGTCGCAGCGTTCAATTTCTCCTCTGCGCTGGGGAGATTACTTTGTGGGCTATGCAGTGATTTCGTCGGACCGCTGAATACGCTATTTATTTCTCTTCTGCTAAGTGCACTGAGCATGTTGATTATCTGGCCTATCTCAACTTCACTGGGGCCTTTGGTCGTCTTTGTTATTGTCAATGGTATGGCGAATGGAGGCTTCTTTTCAACCATGCCTACCGTTGTTGGAAATACATTTGGCTCGGCAAGGGTGTCTGTTGTTATGGGGATGGTCGTGACAGGTTGGGCAGGGGGGTATTTGCTTGTAAGTTGACTAGCTGTGGTTGTTGAAGTGGTTTGATATATGAGCTTGCAGTACTAACTATGCATACAGGGCGCCCCCATTGCCGGGTTCATCCTCGATGCTGCTGGCGGAGAGAATAAGGGGATTATGGGGTACCGTCCGGCTATTTTCTATGCCGGTGCAATGGCCCTTGTCGCTTCTATTATTGGGCTTTCTATTCGGCTGAAGACTGATATGAAGCTGCTCAAGAAGCTCTAGGGTGGGTATGACTGGGGTTATTGATATTGTATGATGTTAGGATGTACCACATGTAAATTAATAAAAATTAAATAGATCAATAGATCAATAGATAAAGAGAGAAATAGAGAAAATCGACAAAACCGAGAAAAGAGGAGTCAACAAGCGAGGCATATAGATGGCCGAGGTTCAACGGGGCCCCATAGTTCCAAGTACTGCGAACTACGCCGCATCCGCCAGAACGTCAAGTCTTTTTCTTCAATTTATATTCACCTCTCATTTCCCTTTTGCAGATTCTACAGAGATATATTAAAATCTATTCAGCTCAAAATGACTTTAAAATCAGTCAATTGCTTGAGGCGTCCACTGCACTTCAGAAGCTTGGCCATTCCTCTACGTCAATCACCAATTAAATCATGCATCGCGCAATATAGCTCCCATTCACCAATGGGCTCAACAGCCGCCAGCACACGCAAAAAAGTAACAATCCAGACCATTCAAAACCTCTACAAAAAGAACGAACCCATCACAGTCCTCACAGCATCCGATTTCCCTAGCGGCCATGTCGCCGACACAGCCGGAATGGAGATCGTGCTCGTAGGCGACAGCCTCGCAATGGTCGCAATGGGCATGGAAGATACAAATGAAGTAACAATGGACGAGATGCTCCTCCATTGCCGGAGTGTAAACCGCGCCGTCAAGAGCGCCTTTACTGTGAGTACTGCGCACATGCATGCATACATGCATACCATACCCCATCCAAAATACATACTACATGCACCCCACCCCACCCCCAACAAAATGCATCATCTCACAATCCATATAGATCGCAGACCTACCAATGGGCTCGTACGAAACAACCCCAGAAAAAGCCCTAACCTCTGCAATCCGAATGGTAAAAGAAGGCGGAATGAAAGGCGTGAAACTCGAAGGCGGAGCAGAGATGGCATCAACAATCCGCAAGATCTCACAAGCTGGGATCCCCGTCATGGCGCACATCGGACTAACACCGCAGCGACAGCACTCTCTAGGCGGGTTCCGTGTGCAGGGCAAGTCAGCCGCGGGCGCAGTGAAACTGCTGCGGGATGCGTTGGCTGTGCAGAAGGCTGGTGCTTGTATGGTTCTTATTGAGGCTGTGCCGCCTGAGATTGCGGCGATTGTTACGCAGCGGCTAAGCGTCCCGACTATTGGGATTGGTTCTGGGAATGGGTGTTCGGGACAGGTGCTTGTGCAGGTTGATATGCTTGGGAATTTCCCGGAGGGGGAGGTTTTTGCCTAAGTTTGTTAAGACTTATGCGGATGTTTGGGGGAGGCTAGGAGGGGGATTGAGGCTTATAGGGAGGAGGTTAAGAGTAGGGCCTTTCCTTCGGTTGGGTATACTTATCCGGTTTCTAAGGAGGTTTTGGAGGAGTTCGAGAAGGTTGTTGATGATGTTGTGGGCGAGGAAGAATAAATCAGCAGCTGGAGTATTTTTGGATCTTTAGCTACTTTTCAAGACAATCTGTATATATGCTTGAGCCTTGAGCCATAGTCTTGACATCTACCATCTGTCCCGCAACGTAATATCTAAAGCGAGCTTCCAACCTGCAAACATGCTTTAAGATATACCAAAATATGAAAACCACCATCTCAGCCAAAAGTCCCTAAGTATCAATTAAAATGCAAATTCAATTCGTACAGAGCATATACAACCTCTAAACATCACCCAACAAATCCACCCAGCTTTTAAATAGAATCCAAGATCCCACCAGCCGATACTTCTTTTCATTTCACCTCAAAACACCGCCAACACCAGCCCACCCAAGAACAAACCCACTAAGCGCCTCACTCATAACACCACCACCAAACCAAACATCCCTCCAAGCACCCTTACGAAGAATCTTCCTGGGACCAGCCTTCCCACCAAGCTGCATGCGCACAGCCTTACTCTTCTCATCCATCTCAATAACACCCTCGATCTCGCCAGTGTTACTACCAGGGAAGAACGAGCCTGCGCCTGCGCCGCCGGAGCGGCGGATCAAAACTGCATGGAAGAGCCCTGATACTAGGATTGTGCCGAGGAAGTAGAAGGCGAAGCCGTAGCCGGATTGCAGGGCCAGGATTCCGGCGGATAGACCGAGGAGGAAGGATGTTAGGCTGTGGAGGGAGGAGAGGACCTGTGTTTTTTTGTATTAGTTTGTATGATATTAGAATAGAGGATTCGGATGCGGATCTGGTAATAGTGTAGGGAATATGGATGTGGGATAGGGGTGGTTGGATGGGATGTGGGATGTGGGAATGTCATACGCGGTTGTTGTGCTGGACGGCCTCTGGTACGAGAGGGGTGATTAGCAGGGAGAGTTCCTGCTTTGTGGGTGCCATTTTGGATGGCTTGGTGTCTCTTTATTCTCCGATTTGTTGTAGTTGATGTTTGGTTTGAGAGTTCGAGCTATGGCTCCGAGGTGTTCGTGGCGGGTACTGATCACGTCTTGAACGGAGGTTTGCTGGGTTTGACCAAGATCGCAGGGCTGTTGCTCTTCGATGACGACAAAATTGTTGCACCAAGAGATATTCTCGTAGAGGGGTGGACACAGCAACTTTCGGCTTGAACAGATGGAGGTCGGAGGTGGCAGCGAGTTTCTACAAGCGCACGGGCCACTTTCACCTGGTCCCCAAAATGATATTCCGATGCTTCAAAAGACTTAGTATACTACCCTACACTACACGATATTCAAGAGCGCAACACCATTTAGAAGAGTATTTAACGTAAATCAAATCAATCATGTTCATATCTACTATTAACCCGAATCCAATGTTCAATAATCCTGAGCCTTTCTCATGAATCTGTTCATATCACACCATCTGAAACATTTATCCTCGATTATGCTGCAAAACATAGCAGAAGGAAAATGCAAGTACCATGATGTCGCTGACTTTAAATTCAAATATCACATTAAACCAGATTTTCGAATTTACCATCAACCCGGGCCTCCTTGACCTGCTCAAAGACCTAATTGAAATGTTAGTGGATGATCAGAATCAAATATCAAGTAGTGCTTACCTTTAGCATTTTGTTGCGTGCACCCAAAGCGTTGACACCGCGATCTTCCAGTGCCTTGTCGTCCAGCTCGACCAGTTCCGTCCACTGGAGGTCCTTCAGGTTGTCGGTATACTTGTGCAGCCTGAGGGATCGCAGCCAGCTGGGGATATCCTTCAGAAGAGCCGGGTCTGTGGGGTCCTCGGGCGGCTTCGAGCTGCCACGGCGACCCCGTGGAGAGCGGCCTCGTGTAACCTCCGAGTGATCCGACAGGTAGCCTTCACTACCCAGACCAAACTGCCCAATGTTCAAAGAGCCCAATCCATTGCCCATAAGAGGGTTGGTGGGATCGTATGCCGCCAAGAACCCATTGTTCTGGGGTGAGGTGAAGCCCATGGGGGTCAAACCCCCACCGTGCATAGCAATACCGGGCGATGTTGGGCGAGACCGTCTACCGGCCATAGCCGCCTGTTGCTGAGCCTGCAGAGCTGCCAGCTGCTGAGAGTTGAGGAGCTGACCGGCGACCAAGTGCTGTCCACCCAGGCTTGGACTAGCCAAGCCCTGTGAGAGCATCTGGTTTCCATGCGAGTTCTTGCCCTGACCATCATTGGAGCGAGCACGGCGGTACTTGCGCGCATCGTCCAGAGCAATGCGGTTGTTCACCGTCGACAAAGCTGCCAGCTTCATTGCCGTGGCATTGGCCACCATATCCGCGTGGGTGTTGGGGTTCTGGTGCGATTGCTGACCGAAAGTTGCAGTCATCGGAGTGTTGGTCATTGACGCCCAGCTGTGGTTGCCGACGTTGTATGGCGAAAGCAGGGGGGGGGCTCGATATCGGCAGCGGGGATATTGACGGTCTGGGGGAGAGGCGAGCGCATGCCAGAGGGTTGGCTGAACTGGCCCATAGGCTGGTGTCCAGAGGATGACTTGGGCCGAGCGATCGGAGGCTGAGTGTCTGAAACACCACGCTGAGTCCACGGAGAGCCAGGCTGTTGGCCCAGACCGTCCTGATTGTTGTCAGGCGCCGAGATAGTGGGCGCCACAAATGAGGCACGGTCGAAGACTGCGCTATTGCGGTTGGACGGGGGTGCGTTGCCAGTTTGCTGGGTAAATTCGGCCTTCTTCTTCGCAATAGCGGCGGCAGCGTCCGGGAACATCGCATTGATGGTGGAAGGGTCAAGGACAGAGTTGCGCTTCGCGCCAGGGGATGGCGGGGGTCGACCGAGGGAGTTCCGGGAAGAGGTGTCCATATTAAGCTTCGACATAGCATCGCTCAGTCGGCTGGACATGGCATCTAGATGAAGGATGGGTTAGTTACATCCAAAATACGAATGGACAATCTGTCATACCCTTTTCGCCAAAATTGGCAGGGGACAGCAGCCCGGACATCGGGTGACCCTGAGACATTTGCTGCAGGACTTGGATGAAAAACCGGATCTGCACCTGAGTGGTCTGCTGCAGCAAGGCATATAGAGCCGCAGTTCTCTCGGCTTCACTCAGAACACGGAACCATTGCTCGATAGCACTGAGTTCATCCTTAAAATCCTGATCAAGCGTGGCAGCTGCCATTTCTTCCAATGTAGTTTCGTACTGATCAATGTCCGCAAGCCATTGTTGAGCGGCACGGTCCAAAGCATCTTCCGTCGTGTTCTGACCTTGGGTTTGTTGGTTGAAAAAGACCTCCGATGATGGACGGATGCTTCGGGCGGACAGCGGCGAAGGAAACCCGGACATGTCTGCCGACGCCCGCAGCTGGTGCGATCCGAGGTTTCGCGATGAGGATGGAGGACGGAGAGTCGAATTTGATGCTTCAGGAGTGCTGTTGCGATTGCCAATGATATGACTGGCCATGGTTTTTAAGGCGACGTGTTGTGAGGACTAGTAAATACAGTGGGGGAAATGATTACTGCAAAACACCTGCAGGACCTGCTGAGTTTGCGTAACAAATAAAATCAAAAAAAAAAAAATCCTTGAACCAGGATCCAGGCTAAGATCCTAAAGTATCAGATGACGCTGAAAAGATCCAGATCTCTCCGTTCGATGGCACAGACCAGTCCAGTGGGCTGCACCTCGGAAATTTGAGATCGAAAAATTAAGGCCTGGAACGAAAGGAAATTGAGACTTGAAGCAATAGTGTGTCAAACACAGTCAAGCCACCGAGTCCCAAAGAAGGAGGGAAAGGAAAGGAAAAGGGGGGGAGAGAAGAGGTTAGGTGGAGAGAGAGAGAGAGAGAGGAAGAGGAAGAGGAGGAAGTCGGGGATTGAAGTTTGGTGAAGAGGCTTTTCTGTTTCAGGCAGATCACGGGTTCACCGAGAACCTCGTCAACATTCTTTCTTGACTTCTCCATATCTCTGCTTTTAAAGTCAAAGGACATTTTCTATTTTATTTTCTTTCTTGGCAATTCTCCTCTTGGTCAAATCTGAATATTTTCTTCAGCCCTGGTGGAGACAGATACTATGAGCATCTGCCAAGCCTAGACCTGAACCCGTTCCTAAATCCAGTGCACTTCAACTATACTGGATTGATAATGAACTTCACTTGGTGATCCACATTTCTGATGATTACCTTAAGCTGAACCTTCTATCAGCAGTGGGAAACACTCTCTATTGAACATTGAATCGTCAGTGGCCATGAGTTCCCAGCAGTACCCGGACGGCATTCCTCTGGATGAGGAAATGCAGGAGGGAGAGTCGGTATATCCGGATATCGATGAAACAGTTCACTATCCATGGCAAAATGAGCAATCTTTTGACATCGGGGATATGCTTGCCTCCGTGATTGATCCGCGTTTGTTTGGGGACCAAACCCCACAAACTCAACCCCAAAGCATCAATCAATATCCTCAAGACCCCAACGAAGGCCAAGGCGAAGTCGAAGAAGAGCAGGAAGCTGATGACTTCTACCTAAATGAATACGATAGTCAGGGGTATCCCCCAGTATCGTATCCTCCCGTGCCTGACGATGGAGCCATGTCGGACGAGGACTTTGCCTTATCCGAAGACGAAAGCGAGAGGTACGTATCCTAAGACATCGCATCTCCAGCTTTATTTAACACAATTGCAGTGAGTCTGATGAAGACGAACCCGCGGAGGATGATGATGATGATGATTCAGGCGCCAGCAGGCGCCGCCGTCGTGGAGGTGGACGCTTTTCCGGAAGATATGGCGCTCGCGGCGGAAAGGGCATCAGAAGAGGACCACGCAAACCACTGGAGCCCAGTCCGGAATTCAAACATCTTCATTCAGGGGCTACCTCTGCCTTCATTGATGGAGACTACGAACGGGCCATTGAGCTGGTGATGCAGGCGATTCAGATTAACCCCGAGATGTTCGCTGCTCATTCTTTGCTCTCAGAAATTTTTCTCGCACAAGGAGAAAACGATAAAGCCCTGGCAGCTCTATTCAACGGAGCTCATACAAGGCCGAAAGATCCAGGTGTCTGGGTCAAAGTTGCTCGGCTCATCTTGGATCGTGCTGGAGAAGATCGGCAGTCCGCATTGCATGATGTTGCTTATTGTTACAGCCGTATCCTTGAGGTCAACCCCGGCAACACCAACATTCGGTTCCAGAGAGCAGCTATCTATCGTGAGCTAGGTCACAATGGGCGAGCTGCAACTGAGTATGAGAGACTACTCAAGGACTGCCCACACAGTGCCAGAGCACTGCGCCATCTTGCAGAGACATACATTGACCTCAATGACGTACAAAAAGCAGCAGATTATTATGCGGACAGCATTGACCACTACCTATCCCTCGACCCTGCGGACTCCGAATTCACTTGGTCGGATCTCAATATCTACGTTGAACTTTTTGGCTATCTCAAACAACCCGAAGAAGGACTCATCTCTTTAAAAATACTTGCACGTTGGCTTCTAGGTCGCGGAGAAGACTCAGTGTGGGACGGCCACGAAGATGACGACAGAGAATGGGACGCTGATGATTCGCCTCGACGCATCAAAACCGATGGTTTTATGCCTGGTCAGTGGCCTCGAGAGTCATATGGGCTTGGTCTTCCGCTGGAGCTTCGTATAAAAATGGGTGTTTTTCGCCTCAAAATGGGTGACAAGCACCAGGGCGAGGCATTGGTGAGTTAGATGCTGGATAATGATAATGATCGAATAACAATACTAACAAAATACAACTAGCATCACTTTGAATGGCTTAACCCAGAAGATGATTCGGAAGGTGCCCGGATTTTCGACTATGGTGATCTTTTCAGAGAAGTGGCAGATGCTTTAAAACAAGTCGGTCTCTTCGAAGAAGCACTCCGATACTATACGCCCATCCAGCAGACTGCTGAACATGCCGATATCAGCTTTTTCATGGCCATGGCTGATTGCTGTATGCAGCTGGGCAAGATGGAAGATGCTGAAAGCTGTTATCTACTCGTCGCTGAACACGATGCTAGTCATATGGAGTCGCGAGTACTACTCGCTAAGCTCTATGAGAGCCTCGGGATGAGCGAACAGGCTATGAAGTATGTCGGCGAGGCAGTTCTGATTGGCCGGCAGGAAACTCGCAGCCGGGGGAGAAGAAAGGACACTAGACTCGAACAGCTTGCCATAGAGTTCAAGATGGCTGGATCAGAACCCCTCCGGTCAATCGCACCCAAACCAACACAGACAGCAACACTGATGAACGCAGCTCCTTCAGCCCCTAGCAAAGGACGGGCGCAACCTGGCGAAGGTACTAGGACTGATGATATTCAATTCTTGTATGCGAAGTTATTGGAGTTGAGTCCACAAGTCAAAGATGGCGTCCCTGTAGCCATTGAAGACTGGCTGGACATTGCCGATGCTCTATTGCGAGATTTCCGGAACAATCGGGCGTTCTATCCGATGGATCGAAGTATTGCCTTTAGGGGATATTCGACTGGTACAAAATCCAAGAACCAGACTAAAAACGGCAAAATGATGGATGAAATGCAGCAAATGGCGGGCCGTCTTCAAGAAACCTTGGGTATGTCATCCTGCTCAGTTCATCCATATACACCATACTAATGTTACATTTAGGAGATGTCTCAGAGGAACCCTTGCAAGGCGTCATTCCTACTGACTACCATGGAATACCATTCGATGAATGGCTTGACATATTCCTGCAATACGCTCTACTTGTAGCAGAACAAGGTGAGACAGAGGAGGCTTATGAGGTCCTTGATTCTGCGGCGATTGCAAGTATCTGGTTACACTCTAAGCCCAAGTCGCGATTGATCCATGTTTGCTGGTTCAGTGAGTTCGTCCAATTCACTTACAAGTAATTATCTACTAACACCTTTATAGCATGCGCTCTCCGCGCACGAGATGAAGAGACACTGGCCAATGAAGCCCGCTGGTTCATCAAAGAATACCAGTTTGTCACCGACACTTACCGACTGTTCTCCATGCTGGGCCACCTATGTGGCGACCCTCACCGATCCCTTTTCCATTCCTCCGGAAACATGAAATTCATGCTTCGCCAAGTCAAAGCGATAGACTTCACGATGCCACAAGATACCCCTCGACCCATTCGGCATTCTGTCTGGAAAGAGCGCGCCACTCTATCCACACGGGATGAAGCCGGTGAGCCCATTACTGCGAAATCGTTAGACATTGCTCTTCTTGTGCTCTATGGCCACATGCTGTACTCCGGAAACAGTTTCTACCCCGCGCTGAACTATTTCTTCCGAGCATACGCTCTAGACGACCAAAACCCAGCCGTTCTCCTCTCCATCGCCCTCTCATTTATCCACCACTCTCTCAAACGACAATCCGAGAATCGTCACTACCTCATTATGCAAGGACTGTCCTTTATGCATGAATACCGACTAGTCCGGGAGAAGCCGGGAACTCTTCTACCCGAAAAACAGGAGATGGAATTCAATTTCGCTCGTGTCTGGCACTCGCTTGGTCTGGCTCATCTTGCCATCGATGGGTATGACCGGGTGTTGAAACTCGGCGAGCAGATTCAAGAAGAAGCCAAGCAAAACTCTCTTCAAAAACCGACATCTACAACAGATGGTACTGGTGTGGTTTCGGGTGATGATGGCAAAGCCCAGAAGACTTCATCGCCCACTAGCCAGTCTTACGTTGAGGATTTCTCCCGCGAGGCCGCTTATGCGCTGCAGTGTATCCACGTTCTCAGCGGCAATGCAGAGACGGCGAAGGCTGTTACAGAAAAATGGCTTGTCATCTGATATCAGACCATGCTTCTACCTGCTTTTCTGACTGTTACAAACAGCTGATCTTCGTTTTTAATGTGTATCATATGAATAAGAACTTCAAAATCAATACTATCAACTTAATTTCAAGCCGTTGTATTCAAATCAGCTTTGAATGAATACATACATGTGGAAGAAGCCACGGGTTCTCAAAAGCGCCTTCATATACACCTAAAAGACACCTAAAATAGACATGACGAGGTCGTTTATGCGATCGCCTATTCTTGTACATTGTAAAGTGAGAGTGGATAACTAAATTTCAATGTCAGTCAATAAGAGAGTTATGTTTTGCTGGCACACATCTCAAAGCTAGTTCTAATTTGCTTGAAACAGGCTGTCGAAGCTCCAGAGCATTGTTCTATTTTAGCAGGTATCTTATCCCTCACTCGTTCATTTCGTTTTTTCTAGTCAGGAGTGATTCAAGGGAATCCCTGGACATAGTGTTTCATATGCAGAAAAGATGTGAAAGTAAGAGGGATATTGGAGCAAAAATTAAAGTGGGAGTAGAGGCAAGTTTTATGGATCGTGAAAAGCCCAAACGTGGGAGGTATCGAGGTATTGAACACCAAATCCAGAGCATTCCTGACATAAAAAAAACTCACAACATGCTTCACAGTGGTAGTAGGAGCTACGGGACATAATATAGCGAGTGCACACATTGCATAATATGGTAGTTTGTTCGGATGAAACTGTAGAGGTCCCAAGACTGAGGTCACTCTCACTGATTCGAACCCTACTTTTTGAGCCCATTGCTGCACAAGGTTGTTGATTTCAACACACCCGGACTTTCACACCCACCCCGAGGCCAGGCCAGATTCTGATCTAATCCATCCTCAGCGTGGTTCTCAATGTTTGTCAATGTAAGTAACAGTTTAACCTCCTCGGTATGGCCGTTCCGTACTACGACGCAAAGAGGAGTTGTTCCATGGCGGTCAATCACCAACTACATGGTCAGTCTTGTGACAAGGTCGTTGATACCTTGCTCGTGTTACCGATTGAAATTGCAATATATATAAGCCATTCCAACGGCGGGGTCGACAAAGCTTCGGCAAAGGTCGTCAACAACCATTGCGTTCATGATTGTTTTACCTACTCCGGAAATACCTGAGCGAAATAATGTCTGCTTAGAAGTATTCCACCAATTTTTGTAAAAACCTTACTTGTAAGAATCACTGGAAAGTTCCTGGTTGTTGCATTTTCAAAAATTGTTTCTGCTTGTGGCCGTAATTGGTTGGTGAAAGCCAGTTCAGAAATTGCAGATCTTCTTTTCTTTCAAATTTGGAGCATATTTTTTGTACTTGAGCTTCTGTTCTGCTAGTATTACGGTTGACTAACATCCTTATCAGAATATGTATATTATATTCAAATTCTTAAACCGAACCTTGGCTTAGGATATCTGCTGACGAACGCCTGCTGGCGATGGGAATTGGCTGCACATACTCCAGAAGGGCCTTCGCACATGCCGCAGCTACAGCTGCAGCGTATGGCTGCCATTCGTCGTCCTTCCTCTTATCAGCATAATTACAAATCCCCCGTATGACAATGCAGGGGAAATCATTCATCAACCCTGCTGCCTCCATTTCAACACACAAGACCTTTCCGCCGAGGTTCTTATCGATACTGTCACGAAGTTTGGCATCTTTAATGACTTGGCTGCCGGAGGCTATCAGACCGCAATGCACGTCAGGGGCTCCCTGTTGCTTTAGGGCCCAATTTAACCGGACCAGCTCGCCACCACGGTCGGCGGGTGCTAAGGTTTGCCATCCCAAGAGATAGCCCAGAAGCGTCAGTATCATATCCCATATGGCAGAAAAGATGGATCGTGACATATACACTTCGTCCTGATCACCAGGTAGCTCTGAAGAAGGCGGTTCGCTGTACTCGGGCACTAGGTCTGGCCATCTTTTGCCCATCTCTTCTAGATATTGGGGTAGAAGACTATTTCCCTTGAGCCTGTTCCTGGCTCTCAATTTGCTCATAGCTGTCAGAAGTATGCTTGGGGGTCTGTTCAAAGCACCGGTACGCCTGAATTTCCTGCTATCTTCTGCCTTGCCAAAATCCCATTGAACCACTCCTGGATACTCGTCCCCAGGGCTGCTGATCACGACATCTCCGAGTTTGACTTTAGAAGGGATGCCACCACCAATGCCTACCATCAGGCCGATCTTGATCGATGGAAAGGTGCGCGCCATCTGGGTCGCGCAAGTGGCCGCTGCGGTACTACCCGTTCTTCCTGCTGGTAGACAGGCTATGACGATGTTGTGCTCCCCGATAGACCCAAGTGTGTACGTATTCGGATCATCAGGCGGCATAGGTAGATCGGGATGCTCCTGGTCTAACATAGCAGTCGCAGCAGTCTGCTCTTCAAACAATGCACAAATCCATCCGACAGTGTAGTCATCGCGTGTCAGCTTTGTCAAGTCACACTGGTTCTCTGATTCATTGCTAATCCCACGAGATATGGCAATCACAGACAATTGTTTATGGTCTTCGGGCCTTTCAGATATCTCGACCATTCTGCTACCGTGCTGCGCGGTGCAGATAGCAAGATAAACGGTGGTGTACCGAGGAAAATTGATGAAGGATGAGAATTAAGGACTCGAAGAATTTCTCGTAAGGTTTTTGTCGGAGTGAATAATTTGAAGAAAGTAGCACAAGTATCTGATGGTTCACACTTAGGAAAGTCAATGGCGAAATCTCCTTATTAAGTACCTGATCACTTGGAATAGCTCGGGCATCAGTGAATGATCGCTACCCAATCGGGAAATACAGCGCTAACTATTCATAGGGCCATGCTCGGATCACAGCCGATGCTTTAGCGCCAGCACCAATGTTCTAGGGCTTTGGCCCCTAGGTTATGCGCCCCTAATTATAAAACTGCATTCAATTGTATGCATGCTCTATCTACCCTAACCGCTGGCCCCCGGAAATTCGATTGGTTTGAAACGTGCAAGCAGCCCTTGGAAGGATTCCTCCTTGTCTATTCTATTTACTGTGGTTATCGCACTTGCGTAATTAATGCCCGAAGTCTTATGGACTGCTACAATAATTCTAGTCATCAGGCAGGCAATCCTCATTTCATTTCCAAAGACTTTTTATATGCTGAATTACTTTATACTAAGTTAAGCAAGTATCAGACCCTGAAGATTTTCAAATAAGAATGTAGTACCATAGAGTGGTGATCCGAAATAGTGATCAAGGTAAAAGGCCTTATTGGTTCTAGGGCTCTGGTAAAGATCTAAGGTTGTAGTTAATAATAGAGGAATAGCGGGGTAAACATTTATATATACAACTTAGTGAGGGTAGGTATTAATAGCGGATCTGCCCGCAAGAATGTGGGGGAGTGCGGAAATGCATGCGGAAATAGGTGAAATTGAGATTCTTGCTAATCAATATCTCACGCAATATATAAGCCTTACGACCATAGATTATTACTGGCTCGGATATTCCTAGTCTGCAGGTCGACGTGATAATTTTCCTCAAGCTGTTCCGGCCCTATTTCGCATAAATCCCCTAGCCCTAATGCCCATGTCTTTCGGCCTTCGTTGATGTCATTGAGTCATTGGGATAAAAGGGGAGCATACGCCCACCTAAGATCTCAAGCCCTATCAAATGACTATAGAGGACACCCAAAGAGTGGAAAACCATTCCAGCTCTCAAGTTGAAAGTCCTGCAGAACTATTGCCGATCACCTCGGCACACTCCAATTCCCCCACGGTCCAGGGATTTGGTGAAGACGAAAAAGGTCATGATGTCAATGTTGAAAGCTCAACAGAAGATTCAATAGGGAAACGGAAGTATTGGAGACGCTTTATCGATGTCGTTTCATGGACACCGCCGCGATGTCGATGGAATACAGAGAAGCCAGCTAAATTCGGTTTGCCTTTGAATATCCTGTTCGCATTCTCGGGAACTTTCACGGTATGGTATAGAAAATTATCAAGATATGCCATAGTCACTGCTAATTCAGTCGTACAGGTTGCCAATCTATACTATTCACATCCCATTCTTGATGTTCTTGCCCAATTCTTCGACGTCTCGCATGAGCGAGCGTCATTGATCCCGACCTGCAGCCAGGCTGGATATGCGACGGGATTAATCCTGCTTTGTCCTCTTGGGGACTTAGTTCGAAGAAGGCACTTTGTCTTGCTGTTAACGCTTGTTACTGCGACATTGTGGATTGGTGTCTGTATCACCAAGTCATTCGAAGTATTCCTTGTTCTAAGTTATCTATCTTCGGTCACGACTGTTACTCCAGTAAGTGATCCCAAGCAATCATATCCAATGCTCTGGTCGGAACATGAATCTTACTGTCTATACAGCAAGTCATGCTCCCTCTCGTCGGAGATCTCGTCCCCCCAGCTCGTCGCGCAACAGCCCTATCAATCGTGTCTTCGGGGCTCGTCCTAGGCCTACTCTTCGCCCGCCTTCTCTCTGGTATAGTTGCCGAATACTCACACTGGCGAAATATCTATTGGCTATCACTAGCCCTCCAATTCCTCATTTTCGCCCTTCTCTGGCTATTCATGCCGGACTACCCATCGACGAACACCAACATCTCCTACTTCAAGATCCTATATTCCATCATCGGATACTACTGGAAATCCCCAGTGCTTGTTCAGGCAACTCTCATGGGATTCTTCCTTTCAGCCACATTCACCAGTTTCTGGACAACACTCACATTCCTCCTATCCGGCGATCCCTACAACTACCCAACCCTAACAATCGGACTATTCTCTCTGGCAGGTCTTACGCCTATGTTCCTAGGCCCAATTTTCTCACGCTACATGATCGACAAATTCGTACCACAGTTCTCTATCCTCATTAATTTTGGCATCTTGATCACAGGTATCAGCATCGGTACCTATACGGGCACTTTTACTGTCGCGGGTCCAATTCTCCAGGCTGCGCTGCAGGATTTCGGTCTGCAGATGAGTCAAATTGCCAATCGCGTTTCAATATACAGTGTTGCGCCCAAGGCACGGAATCGGATTAACACCGGATACATGATCGGTGTGTTCTGTGGTCAGCTTATGGGTACCTCTGTTGGAAATCGTCTGTACAGTCAAGGGGGCTGGATTCTGTCGGGCAGTGTCAATTTGGCGTTTATTGGGGCGGCGCTAATCATTTGTCTTCTTCGTGGGCCAGCTGAGAAGGGGTGGGTTGGATGGCATGGTGGCATCCACATCCGACGAACGGAGTGATTTTCTGCTGTGCTTGGATTTTTATTTTATTCCATGGAATTTCCGTTCCTGTTAATATGCTTTGCACTATAGATTACATATATAGAACCTTGAAAAGTATCAATCCTCTTCTACGGCAGATTATACCAACTTCATTTGAGATTTAGTGAACACCAGCGCACATTAACAGCAAAGTTACACAGGAGAATAATGGTACTTATGCAATTAGATACCTAGATGCGGCCTTCGCGTTTATAGAACCTAACTCTGTATTGCTTCGAACCAAACTACCGCCAGCCTAGAACTCTCGTACGATTAATATATCCGAAACAAATTTCACAAGTGCTTATCTATTTCCATGTATGATGACGTTAACCAGCCCAATTCTCAATTCGGGGCGTGCAGACTAATTTAACAATGTTACATTGGACGAACGCCTATCTGTTACTCCGTACATATCGATTACAGCTCGATATCCACCTATCTCTCTCTATATAAGTTGTAATTGTACGTAACTAACTATAGCTCCACGTACTCTGTATGTACAAAGCTATTAACCTGTTCCTACTGTCTAGGCCCTTTTATATTACAGAAAATAAATTAATTAAATAAAGAAGAAGCAAAAAGAGAAGGGTAGATAGATCGAGAGAGATCCGCCCCTTGTAAATTTGTTATCGGGAGAAAAAAGAATGCATCAGGAGGGAATCGAACCCCCCTCGCCAGTTAACTTGAAGAGGACGAATCCTGATCATGGAAGACTAGCATCATAACCACTAGACCACTGATGCAGTGGATGTGTTGGTTTATCAACCGTCAAGGTACATCAATAGTGAAAATGTAGATCATTGCATCGGGGGTGCATTGCATGCATTACCCCCGGGCGATTGATGAACAATTTAATTCCCAAAATTATTATATTCGATTATACTTGTTCTAAATTGAAGGCTATCTAAACGAGCTTATGAAAATATCAAAATACACATATTTACATATTTGCGTATATCTTCGGTGCTGTGTGTGATACTATAATATATATTTCAAAGCAAGACTGTGAGCTCAACCTGACTAGGTAGTTCATTGCCTCATTTGTAATTCCGTCCGCATTCATCTTACAGGTGGTTTAGGTTGTATATATATAACCGTGCAGGAGTGTTCGGTGTATTGTCCTGATACAGGGATGGGAGGGTATATGTAGGTTTAATATATATAAATGATCTACTTCAAATGACGAGAACTAGAAAAAGAAAACGGTCATTGCGAATTACTAGCGCGGGGCTACTCATTATTTGTTTATAAATACATTAACAGCTTTGTTTAATTTTAAAAAACCAATTTCCTAAATATCTAGTGCTGAAAACCTTGGAAGCCATTTGAAGCTACCTACATTGGGGCTGATGTCAGTTTTGATACTCCCCCGCTCGGCCAAGCCGAATTGTAGCAGATGATGGTCTTTGATAATTTATTAATTTGCCAAATTTACCCTGAGGCAGTTGATTAGAATGTGTCATCCCAACCTTAGTATTCGTACAGGTGAAGCTGTCTATGTACACGCATAGCTCATTTTGATAAGAAAAAAATAAAGAAGGAACAACGAAGTATGTGATCAAGTGCAACGACCGCAAAATAAAGGCGAAGCCAAAAACGATCAAATGCATACCAATAAGACATATGACACCTTGCTATGCTGATGAAGAGGGGTAAGCGGGAAACAGAAAAGCAAAGACACTAGACAAGGACAAGGACAGCGGGTGTATTATCCGAAAGTGCCCGCGATAAGAGCCGCCTTTCATTCTGGATATTGGATATCCAAAGTAGCGGGAAGTAGCATGACGAGATAGGGCTGCAGGTGCCCCGAAGTAGAAAGGTCCTAGTCTGAGCCATAAACTCTGATGGAGCCGCTCGAGCCGCTTGTGTTTTTATCAGATGACCATGGCGTCTTCGTCCCGATAGTAATCCGCATCGTCAAAGAAAACGGCAGACTGGCGTCTTATTTCCTCGACCACACTTCCCCGTCGGGAACTTGGGGTCTGAGGACGTGATGAGTTGGTTGACTGGGATATGCTATCTGACAAGTCACCGAAACGGGACTCGCTTTTCCAGCTAGACCCATCGCGCTCGGGGAGATTTTCATCTAAACGCTCAACCATGGAGTCTGGATGTTCATTTTCTCGACTGCGGAGTCGACGAGAGAGGATCGGGGAGAGCGCGCGTCCACCCGTTCTGGATTCTTGCAGTCCTTTCATGATCGCATTCTCGACCTTAAGCCGGTTTTGGATAAATTGAATCTTGGAGAAAGCGCTTTGTTGGCCGACATGTATCATGCGGGCGAGCCT